CTACACCCTACAAACCCTACCCTCTGAGCCCTTACACCCTATAACTTGGCATGTTCCGCCTGATACTAACAGTCCTTAATGGGCATTCTGGTACCCCCTACTGTAATCCCGGATCCCTATTAAGGACTGTTCGTTTATGGGGGCACATCCCAACCCACAACACCCTAAACCCTAGAAACCCTACCCTCTGAGCCCTTTAAGCCCTGTAACCCCCCAAACCCTAAACCCTGAACCCTGAACCCTAAACCCTAGACCCTAAACCTGAACCCTAAACCCTGAACCCTAAACCCTAAACCCTAAACCCTAAACCCAAGGTGATTCCAGTTAAAAAAACCCTAAACCCTAAACCCTAAACCCTACGCCAATCTTTTTGCTGGGAGAAGAGGCTGGCGTCCGCTCGCCTCCGCGGCGATGCGCAGGGTAGCGTGGCGGCGGTCGGCGCCTGCGAGAAGGACAGGTGGAGGTTTAGGGTTTAGTAGGGTTTAGGGTTTGGGGTTTAGGGTTTAGGGTTTAGGGTTTAGGGTTTAGGGTTTAGGGTTCAGGTTTAGGGTTTAGGGTTTAGGGTTTAGGGTTTAGGGTTTAGGGTTTAGGGTTCAGGGTTCAGGGTTCAGGGTTCAGGGTTCAGGGTTCAGGGTTCAGGGTTCAGGTTTAGGGTTTAGGGTTTAGGGTTTAGGGTTTAGGGTTTACCCTAAGGGTCCATGTACCTTGTTGTTATAGACTTGGGCCCCAGAGTCCTATATAGGATGTACTTGAAGGCCCAAGTATTCCCTATTTAGGTACATGGACCCTTAGGGTTAGGGTGTATCAGTCAGCTAGGGTACGTAGATATATGGGCCGGTCCCTTTCGTCCTTGGAAGGGTTCTGGAGTATGGGCCCGTGTGTTGTATGGGTATACAAGGGGGTATATAAGGGGTCCCGTTTTAATTTAAGGGCATATTTTAAAGGACCATGCAACTACCCTAAGAAGTTCGGACCCCTGAGGCCATAAGAGGCATTGTTTCAGATTAATCTTGTGCTTCTGTCATCGGCTTTAGATAAGATTTGGGGTTTAGGGTTTAGGGTTGAACACCTGAACCCCCACAACAGCTTGCACGCTCTCGACCCTCCTACGTCAGTGCATCGACGGCGCTGCATTGGAACATGCTACCCAAAGATACTCAATAAGGGATACATCTTTGCCTGTGCGGGAGATCCGGAAAATGAACCCTAAACCCTAGAACCTTTAAAACCTGTGTCTTTCGCTCTTGACGAGTGTGCTCAATCCCGACACCCCTAAACACCCTCAACCACCCCTGAACCCCTGAAAGGCCCCTTAAGCCCTCCAAACCCCTCAAGCCGCCTAAGCCCCTCAAGGCCCAAAAGCCCCAAAAAGCCCCAAAAAACGCCTATAGGCCCCAGAAGCCCCTATAAAGCTTAGAACTTAGACCTAGTAACCCCTACACCCTAAACCGAAACCCTAAATCCTAAACCCTAAACCCTAAACCCTAAACCCTAAACCCTAAACCCTAAACCCTAAACCCTAAACCCTAAACCCGCCCTTTGAGCCCTCAAGTAAGAGGCCTCAGCGTGGCTCGCCGCCCTGCGATCTGTGGACCAGGAGAGATCATGTTTGCATGGGCTTTACCCCGGTTTAGGGGTTTAGGGTTTAGGGCCAGTTTAGGGTTTAGGGTTTAGTGTTTGGGGTTTAGGGTTTAGGGTTTAGGGTTTAGGGTTCAGTGCACTTCTGTGGTACATGGTCTGTTGTCTGCAGCTTTCGGTTTCTAGGGGTTAGGGTTTGCAGGGCTTTGGGGTGTGTCTTGGTCTAAGTGTAGTTGCATGGTCCCTTAGCATGGGCCCTCAAAGGGGGTACCACTTATATCCCCCTTATATACCCATACATCAGAACCCTTAAAAGGAGGTCCGGGACCATATTGAAGGGCCCGCGCAACTAATCCCTTCCCCCTAATATTAAACGGGGGGTCCCCCCTCCCCCCCCCCCCCCCTTTAAAAATTCGAAATGTGTTTTTATTATTAGGGGGTATTTTTATCGAAATGTCGCAAAATTAGACTTCAGGGTGTGGAGAGCCAGGCTCACAGGCAGCTGACAGACAGCTTCGTGCTGCCAAAAGACGGGCCTCTAAATTAAACCTAAACCCTGAACCCTAAGCCCTAAACCCTTAATTAACCCTAGACCCCCCAACCCAAAACCCTCTGAGGGTTTTATTGGTGTTGAAGGATTTCTTGGAGGCCTGAACCCCCCCCCCTAATTCGGAATAGGGTTTAAAAGGCGGGCTCGGTTTCGGGAGGTTTTTCCGGAAAGTATTTTTATTATTGGGGGGGTATTTAATAAAAGGGGGAAGGGATTAGCCCTAAACCCTAAACCCTAAACCCTAAACCCTAAACCCTAAACCCTAAACCCTAAACCCTAAACCCTAAGCCCTAAGCCCTAAGCCCTAAACCCTCCTTATACCCCTTGTAGGGTCTCTATGGGGCCCTAGGTCTCACGTAGGGGCTTTAGCGCTGGAGGCCCACTCCAGCGCTTCACTCGAGGGGCTGGATTTGCTTCAATTTTAAGGGGGTTTAGGGTTTAGGGTTTAGGGTTTAGGGTTTGTAGGGTTTAGGGTTTAGGACCCGGAGTTTTAGTGAGAACAAGATCAGTCTGTGGACGCGAGGCAGAGTGCGCCTCGCATCGACCTTCAGTCTGGGTCCCGGGTGCTGCTGTGTCGGGTTTAGGGTTTAGGGTTTAGGGTTTAGGGTTTTGGGCTCTGGTTCCTTTGAGGTTCACTGTGGGGCTTAAGGCTTGTAGGCCTTTAGGTTGCAGGGCGTTTTTTGGGGTTTCGGGGCTTTAGAACGTTTAGGTTTGAGTTGAAGGCTGTTGGATTTGAGTGGCCCTAGGCCTATTCGGATGAGGCTCAGGACAGTGCACGAGTCGGCCCATTTAGGGTTTAGGGTTTAGGGTTTAGGGTTTAGGGTTTAGGGCTTAGGGCTTAGGGCTTAGGGTTTAGGGTTTAGGGCACAGTCACGAACTTGCGAAGCTTTGACGTAGAACTCTCCGAAGCCCTGCTGGCGCAAAGTCGTCAACTTGGCGGACGAGTATTTCCCCAAATATGGCACTCCTTGGAATATACCCCTACATACTCTAACTTAGGAAGCCCAACTTTTGGGAAACCCCCATATAGCCTGAGCCCTAAACCCTAGAGACCCTGTCAGCTTAAATTAGGGCGCAAAAACCACCCAAACATAAGCATCCTTCTACTGGGTAGACGGGGGCCCTATAAGGGGCATTATGGAAAGCCATGTTTGTAGAATCCTTAACCTTAAACCCTGAACCCTGTTGTGTTTACGTGGTTTTTATGGCCCCGATTTATGGCCGCACCGTCTGATCATCGGATTGCTTGACCACTCATCCATGAGATTCCGAACGAGGATGGAGGCCCCAGCCTAGAATGGGGCCTTATAGGGGTTTGGGGTTGTAGGGTTTGGGGGTTGATAGGGCTCTATAGGTTGATTTATAGGGTTTACAGGCTCGCAGAGCTGAGAGGGCCGAAACCCCCACATTAACCACCCTCCCGGAGGGCATCTACAGAATCACCTCGCAGAGCATACAGCTGAACTCCCCCCAAAAAAAGCCCGATTAGGGTCTCGGGTTTAGGGTTTAGGGTTTAGGGTTTAGGGCTTAGGGTTCAGGGTTCAGGGTTTAGGGTTTAGGGTTTAGGGTTTAGGGTTTAGGCGCTTGTGGCCTTGGAGACTGGGTCCTCGTTCAGTGCAGACGGCATGGCTTGCAGATTCCGCACCCCAACCGAAAACCAGTAGTGCGGGAACACTCCCCTGGCCCTGACGCGCGTAGCTACATCAAATAGGGTTCAGGGCTCAGGGCTGTACGGTTTAGGGTTGAGGGTCCCTTTTATTGGGCTACCCTATATAGAGTAGTCCCACTGAAAAAAGTTCCCCGCCAATGTTCGGAAACCCTAAATCCTTGAAACCCTAAATCCTGTAAACCCTGGAATCCCCTAAACTTTTGAGCGTAAACCCACCCTCAGGCCATCCTCCACAATGCAGCTTTGGGTGCGTTCGTCAGGGGCCACAGCTAAGCGGGATGCTTATCCTGGGACTTGGTTTTCCTACAGTTTTGTAGTAGCTACCCCTTAATTCGTAGGTAGCACCCTTAAAACTGTAGCTGAAGAGAGTCCCAGGGAAGATTTAGGGTGTACAGGTGATGAATATTTTTTGGGTTTAGGCTTTAGGGCCTTTCGAGCTTGTAGGGGGCTCATATAAGGGAGTCTATAGGGGGGTTTAGGGTAGGGCTGTAGGGTTTAGGAAGGCCTTATAGAAGCCAAAAACTAAACTTTTCCCTAAACCTTAAACCCGAAACCCGAAACCCTAAACCGTAAACCCTAAACCCTAAAACCTAAGCCCTAAACCCTAAACCGTAAACCTAAACCCTAAAACCGAAACCCTAAACTCTAAACCCTAAACCCTAAACCCTAAACCCTAAACCCTAAACCCTAAACCCTATTCGGGTTTCAGCATGCCGCAGGTGGTTCTGGTTCAGCATGCCGCAGGGTCTCCCTAAACCCTAAACCCTAAACCCTAAACCCTAAACCCTAAACCCTAAACCCTAAACCCTAAACCCTAAACCCTAAACCCTAAACCTCCCTGATTCCTTCGAAGTGGCTGATGGCTTCGGGCTTTTGGGTTTCGGGCTTCGAGCTGATACAGTGTTCGGACCGCATTCTTTGAAACCCCCCTCAAATCCGAACCGCACGTTGCCCGAAACCGTGGACTCAGAGGTCGTGGATCGTAGCTCCTAGTCTTTCGGATGCTATCCCCGAACCTCACAACCCTAAAACCCTAAGCCCCTACACCCCAAACTCTAAATTAGGTTTTTTGGTTCAGGGTTTAGAGTGTAGGGTTTAGGGTCTAGGGTTTGTAAGCCCCTAAAACCTCCCTTATAGGGTTTGGACCAGCTTGCATGTGCAGAGGCGGCTGCTTCTGCGCCTTGGACCGTCAGCGCCGCTCTCATGGTGGCGCCCTTAGACCAAGTGGAAGAGGGTTTTGGGTGTGGGTGGGGGTTGGGGGTTTAGGATTTCGGGTTTAGGGTTTTTGTTGGGGTTTACGGTTTGGGGTTTTTTGGGGGTAATTAGCCCTGAAGCTGCCCCTCCGTCGGGTTCATGCTGCGCCGGAGCATGAGCTGGCACGTCGGCAGCTGAAAACTCATAGCACCCCATGCAGTAACCTCCGGGATCTAAACCCTACACCCCAAACCCTAAGCCCTAAACCCTGAACCTTTGAATCGTGAGTCCTCAAGAACTTGCTGCGACACGCGAACGTCGGTGCTCGGAGGAGCCGATAGCCCTGCGCCTGCCCATGAAAAACATGTGGGGAGAAGACCCTTTAAAGGGGGGGCTTAAGGGGGGGTGTACGAAAATAGGGGTACATACCCTTTTTGGGGGTCCCTTTAAGGGGATTCTACGGTAGAAGAGGGGTACCGCTATTCTGGGTGAATTTCCATGTTCACTTCAAAAGTCTCAAAGGAACTCCCTGCAAGATGTAGGGATCCTGCTCTTTAGGATGTAGGTTTAGGGAATAGGGTTAGTTTGTTTATGATTTCAAGGGCTCTCTTAGGGGCTCTGCTCTTTAGGATTTAAATAACCCACTTTAGGGAAAACCACTTCGATTTAGGGCTCCCGCTCGTAATGGTTGATCAAGAAGGATTTTGGCAATGGGGTTCTTGTTTTTTCAGGTTTAGGGCTAGGGAATGGCTTTTGGAAGAACACTCAGCAAACCTGCTCTTTAGGGTTTTGCGAAAAGTAATCGGATGTTTTTGTTTTTTGTTTTCGAATTTTCGGGCTCCCCTCTTTAGGATTTTAATTGAATCCCCCTCTTCTCCGGTTCGGTGCTTTAAGCCTTCTTCCCCATCTTGCTCCCAAAATTCTCTTCCTAAATCCTATGCCACTATGCGCTTAGGACTTAGCGAATAAGGTTGAAGCCTCTGGGAGGGCGGTTGCCTTTCATTCAGATTTTCAGAAAACGATTGAGGGACCAAGAGTTGGGATTTCCCCATTGGCCAATATGACTTGGAAGCTGTCTAAAAAACATGGATCTCTGTGGGGGGGAGAGGGGGGAGGGTACCATACATATATGTATATATATATATACATATATAAGAGAGATTTCGGGCCTCAAAGGGTGCATTATTGCGGAACTATACCCAAAGTGCCTTCTAAGATTGAAAAGTATACTTGACCCCCTAACCCCCCGCTCAACAAGACGGTATACTCGACCCCATAACCCCCCCCCCCGCTCCCCAAACCCTAAACCCTAAACCCCAATTAAACCCTAAACCCTAACCCCGCCTAAAGGTACACTCCACACTAAAGGGCACCGGGGCTTCACGACCGCCAAGGACCGCATGCTTCGACGGAGGTGCGAGCTGGAAGCCCGAGGGGGTCAGCATTTTGGGTTTAGGATTTCAGGGTTTCGGGTTTAGGGTTTAGGGTTTAGGGGTTGTCAGTTTACGGTTTTAGGTGCTCGGGGTTTGGGATTGGGGTTGCGAGTTTGGGTTTGAGGGTTAAGAGTCATGGCGGCGAACCGGCGGCGGTGTTCCTTCTTGACCAATCTTACCCATACGAAAGGATCCGCAGGTTGCGTAGGGGCAGTTAGGCTTGAGGACTCCGAGATCAGGAGCTTAGGGTTTAGAACTTTAGGACCCTATCTGTTTCCGTTTGGGACACGGAATGTTCTTATGATTATGGCTAACATGTACGAAGAGAATTGGATACGAACAGCAAGCGGAACTACATGTCGGGACCAGATATATAGTTTGTTCTCTTTCCCCTAAATGATCATAACACATGCCCAAGAGAGTGACCGTGGCATAGAGAACAGACGTGTACCCTGGGCGGGGCGTTGGCTTCGATATGAGCTGTGCGACTGCGGCTTTCATGGCAGGACGTGGGATTTGGTTCAGCTCACAGGGCAGACCGTTGGATGCCACTTTCTCCCCCCCCCCAAAAAAAAAAAAAAAAAAACAAAAACATGTGGGCCCAAACAGCCCCTACATTACTAGGGTTAGGGTTTAGGGTAGGGTCTAGGGGTTAGGGTCCAGGGTTGATGAAGCCTCATCTGTTGTTTGGCTTCCCTTGGGGTAAGTATAGGATCCCACAATCTACGGGTGGGGAAGGCTTTAGGGTCCCGCAAGTCTCCTATGAGTCACACGCAGCCTGTGAGCGTAGCAGCCTACAAACAAGCGCTGAAGGTTTGGTCTCATGAGTTTAGGGGTTGATCTTAAAGCGTAGGTCGTCCTGGGGCTTCTCCTGCATGATCAGTACATGTCCGAGGTCATCCAAGCACTTAAGGGCACATGTCAAAGACAGACTTTCAGAAGTGCGCTTGTCCGGTCGTTGGGTTTCGTTCCTGCTTGTCACATCCTCCGCCCTGTTGTAGAGCGTCGCATGATCATACTTCGGTGCAGAATGCAGTCTACCGTATGGCCCTTTTCGGCCAAACAGAGGGCCCAATGCCCCTCCTAGGAAATTGCACCTCGACTCATACCAGGATTCCTTTGAGCACCTAAGGTGTACATCTCTGAATTGAGCGGAACTGAGCTCTCTGGGTAGAGCCTGAGGATAAGAGCCCAAGGTAGACCCTTGGGAGATTGTCATATCTTCCCTTACTGGGTTTCAGAGCCTAAACCCGAAACCCGAAGCCCTGACCCCTGAACCCTAAACCCTAAACCCTAAACCCTAAACCCTAAACCCTAAACCCTAAACCCTAAACCCTAAACCCTAAACCCTAAACCCTAAACCGAATCTTCTTCAGAGTTGTTTTTTTTTTTAATGGGGCCATCCTGGGAGCTTTTACACCGGAACTCAGGCGGGACGCGGCTTCCTTCGGCTCCTTCGCAGTGGCTTGCGCTCTGCCCGCGGGTTTAGGGTTTAGGGTTTAGGGTTTAGGGTTTAGGGTTTAGGGTTTAGGGTTTAGGGTTTAGGGGATTCAGAGGGGGGGATGTAACCCAAGGTTCTCTAGTACTCCCCACTCGTCCCTAAGACTCCCTAAGCTTCCCTAAGGTTCCCTAGGTACCTACCCCCCATGAACCCCCCTCCCTTACTAAACCTTGCCACCTCAGGAGCTTCATAGAGTCGGTTCTCCAAATTATGGTCTTTTTGCGGCTACCTCTAATATTTGAGGGGCCGCCTTAGAATCAGGACCCAGAAGGGACCATATTTTGGAGAAGTGACCATTTTCGGAGACTTAAAACCTAGCGAAGTTTATAGTTTCAGGGGTGTTAGACGTGGGGTTTTGGGTTTAGGGCGTAATTAGGGTTTGGGGTTTAGGGTCTAGGGTTTAGGGTCTAGGGTTGAGGGTCTAGCAGCTGTGCAGCAAAGAGCCGTACGTCTCGAAACGACCAGGATCGCCTGATGCATGAAGAGGTACCGTATTTAAACTTTCTAAACCCTAAACCCTAAACCCTAAACCCTAAACCCTAAATCCACAAACTCCGAATTCTAACCCGAAGCTCTTTCATCCACTTTCGAACTGCAAATCGGCCGGACTCAGGTTATCATTTCGAAGCCCTCAAACCCTTGAGAACCACATGAACCCTAGAACGGCTTATGGTTCATATACCCCAAAAAGGATTTGAGTAGTATGGGGTACATGGTCCCAATTTTAGGGCTCAAGGAACCTGAACCCCAAAAGCAAAACCCTGAAAAGCCCCCCCCCCGCCAAACAACAAGACAGAACACCCATACTTGTACCGGTAAGCCCTAGAAGCCACCCTAAACCCCAAACCCTAAACCCCAAACCCTAAACCCCAAACCCCAAACCCGGAATCTTCCCTCAACCCCACACACCCCAGGCCTAAACTCAGAAACCCGTGGCTTCCGGGCTGGGCTTCGGGTTTAGGGTTTAGGCTTTTTAGGGTTTAGGGTTTAGGGTTTTTTAGTTTTTAGCTTTTAGGGTATAGGGTTTAGGGTTTAGGGTTTAGGGTTTAGGGTTTAGGGTTTAGGGTTTAGGGTGGGCAACCTAGAACTGCAGGTGCCGGGAGCTCTTCCTGGCAGCAGGCATTTCTGCTGCAGCAGCTCCTGGGGTGAGCAGCCCAGCTTGGGCAAGGGGTCTAGGGTCTATTTAGGGTTTAGGGTTTAGGGTTTAGGGCTCAGGGCTTAGGGCGCCTGATAAGGTTCAGGGTTTATGGTTCTAGGGTTTTGGGTTCATGTTCGCCCATGCAAAGAGAGAACAGCCTAGCCTCATGTTTTGTCAGTTCTGTCTTTTCCGGTGTTGCCCGGCTATTCTTTTTTGTGGGGATGGGGGGGGGGGAGGGGGTACGTGTGGAGACCCAGGGTTGACCGATCGTGGGGTGTATGCGGTCAATTGTTCGGGCTGCTGAACCCCAAGCCTCTGAGGGTGGGAGGGTGGGTCCACGGGTGGGGACCACACCTTCTGACCTTACTTACACTGACACCAGAATTTAGAGCTTAGGGAGTAGGGCTTAGTGTTTTGGGCTTAGGGTTTGGGGTTTGGGGTTTAGGGTTTGGGGTTTAGGGTTAGGGTTCCGAGGCATCTGGACATCGCCAACGACCTGCTCCACCGGAAGGCTGTCGCACACGCGGCTGGCCGCGGCAGGCTGGGGGTTTAGGTCTACAGGGGCGCAGGGGGAGACTTCGCTATTTGTTATTGAATAGGTATTGGGATGTTCCACCTTACACTACCAATCCTGAAAAGGGATTATAGTACCCCCTATAATAATCATCCCGATGAAGGACTGTTAGTAGAAGGGGGAAATCCCATTGTTTGCGGTGGGGGACGCCTGGGTGGCTCCTAAGAAGCAGGCTTGACAGGGGTTTGGGGGGGTTAGGGTCCAGGGTTTAGGGTTTAGGGTTTAGGGTTTAAGGTTTAGGGTTCAGGGTTTAGGGTTTAGGGATTAGGGGTGTAGACTCTTGGGTACGCTCCCAGGGTTGAGGGGTTAAGTGAGCTTCAGGAAGAGGTTAGTCTAGAGGGCTCAGGCCCTAAACCCTAAACCTGAAACCCTAACCCTAAACCCTAAACCCTAAACCCTAAACCCTAAACCCTAAACCCTACATAAACCCTAAACCTGAACCCTGAACCTTAAACCCTAAATCAATCCTGTCAGGATCAGGGTCCCAGGTGCCCTGTCAGAGGCTTTCGCAACACCGTGTCGTGCAAGGTTGGTCTGGTCAGGGTTTAGGGTTTAGGGTTTGGGGTTTGGGGTTTGGGGTTTGGGGTTTAGGGTTTAGGGTTGAATCAGGGCTGATTTCATCATACCGAGGCTACATGCACAACACAGCAGTGGCTGCCGTCACTTGTTGCCGTCTACCCAGAGCCCCTAAACCCTGAACCCGTACTTCAGGGAAAAATAACGGTCGGAGTATTTGCTAATGAAATTCCGATTTGCAATCATACATACAATAGTAACCCCCGAAACCATATCCTGATGATTAAGGTCCCTATAAACCCTAAACCCTAAACCCTAGACCCTAAACCCTAAACCGTAAACAGTGCAAACTCTGAATTTTTGAAACCTATAGCGGCCCTCAGTTGAAGCCACTGAAGGTGCACCCCCCCCCCCCCCCCCCCCCCAGCAAGATCCCTAAGCCCTTACCCGCTTCAACCCTACACCCTCGCGTTCAGGGTTTAGGGCCTTCTAGAGTCTAGGATCCCTAAACCTTACCCCCTTAAACCCTACACCCGAATCTGTAGGTAGGGTTCAGGGTCTCGGGTTTAGAGCCTAGGGTTCCTGAACCCGAAGCCCTATAAACCCTAAACACCCTAAAACCCTAAAAACCCTAAAACCCTAAACCCTAAACCCTAAACCCTCAACCCTCAACCCTCAACCCTCAACCCTCAACCCTCAACCCTCAACCCTAAACCAGCCAAGCACAAGTGGGAGCCACCAGGTGCTGGGAAGCCGCTCTGGTGCAAGGCGACGAGCTAGGGGCCAAGCCTGTTTCTAAGGGCACGTTAATGTGGTCCCTTACCCTCTTTAGTGGGTTCTCATATAAGGGCCCTTAGCATAGGCTTAAACCTTAAACCCTTAAGCCCTTGAGCCCTTAAGCCCTTAAACCCTTAAACCCTTAAACCCTTAAACCCTTAAAAGTCTTTGATAGGAATTGTAAGGTATTGTAAGGGGGCTGGAGGGGGGGGGTGGTATTAAAATCCCCAATTCAGGACTGTTAGCACAAGGGGGAACGTCGCTAAATTTAAGAGCCTCCGGCTCAAGCCGTCGACTCTGCAGGAGAACAAGTTTAAGGTTTGGGGTTTGGTGGATTGGGTTTGCGGTTCGGGTCTGGGGCGGGGGTGGGGGGTGGGGGTGAGGCGGGGGTGGGCCAGCCTGGCGAGAAGCTGCTCGGCTCCTTCAAAGGGGGGTTAGGGGGGGGGAGGGGGCTACGCAGTGTGCGTGGGCCAGGGGCCCCCCCCTACCCCCTACCCCCTACCCCCCCCTACCCCCTACCTACCCCCCCCTACTACACCCCCCCCTACCCCCCCCCCCCTACACCCCCCCCTACCCCCCCTACCCCCCCCCCCCCCCTACCCCCCCCTGCATTGGTTTTCACCTCCAGAAACCATCCAACACGCCGCCAGGGTCGGCGGACCCTAAACCCTAAACCCTACACCCTAAACGCTAAAACCTAAACCCTAAACCCCAAGCACTAAACTTCTGTCGTTCTTGTTTCTTCCTGTGTGCCGAGGCGCCAGAGCCTGGGCTCGACGGAGTCATGGAACGCCCACGAGGTCGCCAGTGTCGGTTGGGTTTAGGGTTTAGCGTTTAGGGTTTAGGGTTTAGGGTTTAGGGTTTAGGGTTTGGGGTTTGGGGTTCAGGGTTTAGGGTTTAGGGTTTAGGGTTCAGGGTTCAGGGTTCAGGGTTTAGGGTTTAGGGTTTAAGTTTAGGGTTCAGTGGACCCTGCAGATTTATGTAGAGCTTAGGGTTTGCAGAGCTGCGTTAGCCTACTAGCATTGAAGGTAAACAACTCCACACCCCCACACCCCAAATCTGAGATGTCCCCCCCCCCCCCCCCCCCCCCCCCCCCCCCCCCCCTTACATGCTGAACCCTAAACTCCTAGACCCAAAGCCCCAAGCCCAAAACCCAACCCATCTGCTCTACCTGCCCCACCCAAAAATCCTCGTGCGGGTGGGGACGGCCTAAACCCCAGACCCTGAACCTTTTGGGTCACGACGGGGTCCCAGAAATTGAATTACATGCCTTGAGTATGTATATGCTCAGATACTGCCCAAGAAAGTAGTTAAGACCATTCCTTTACAAGTGTTCTAAAGCTAAACCCTAAACCCTGAAACCTGAACCCTGAACCCTAATGGGGGCGGTACTGGCGCCCTGCAGGTGTGGGCCGTGTCGGCCTGGGCAAGCGAGGCCGCTATAAGGGCTTTGCAAGCTGACGGCCCGGTTTAGGGTTTAGGGTTTAGGGTTTAGGGTTTAGGGTTTAGGGTGCAGGGTGTAGGGTTCAGGGTCTTTCGGGTTTAGGTGTTTAGGTTCAGAGTTTAGGGTTTATGGTTTGCTGTGATGCGGGGTTGGGATGCAGACTAGCTTCGAAAGCGGAAATGCACAGAGCAGCTATGGCCCGAATGTGGAGGGCCACCATCAAACACGTTTATCCAGAGTTTAAAGCCCCTTCGTCCAGCAATTGAGGAGCTTCGTTCACAAAGCCCTGAAGAGTCTGGGATGGGGGGGGTACCCCAGGACTCGAAAAAAGGGTGGCAGATTCCAAAAACAATATGCATATAGCAAAAATGACCCACGATTTTTCGGATTTGGGGGCTTCCATGTGCCTTGAGGGTCCAAGGGCCAAGGCATCCGGTGGACACAAAAATATGCCGGCTTCCAGAAAATGGGCTCCTGCAACGGGCCCATGGGTACCGACCTCCAAGCTGTGACCTGTATCGGCTTGCGCCAACGAGGTTGAGGGGCTTAAGCGCCACCCCCTCCCCCCCCACTGTAGACTGTACTAGTAGTGGGCCTTGGGGCCTTGAGTTTAGGTTTAGGGCATAGGGCATAGGGCCCCTAAGCCTTGAACCCTAAACTGGCCGCAGGGTCTCCCTAAACCCTAAACCCTAAACCCTAAACCCTAAACCCTAAACCCTAAACCCTAAACCCTAAACCCTAAACCCTAAACCCTAAACCCTAAACCCTAAACCCTAAACCCTAAACCCTAAACCCTAAACGAAAACCTTGGCGTTTGGCTTGAGGGTTTCAGGGTTGAGGGGGTCAGGGTTCGGATCAAGGCCCTTCACTTGAGTTCTATATTCTGGCAACAACCCTCACCCCTAAACCCTAAACCCTAAACCCCAAACCCTAACCCTAAACCCTAAACCCTAAACCCTAAACCCTAAACCCGAAACCCGAAACCCTAAACCCGAAACCCTAAACCCTAAACCCTAAACCCTAAACCCTAAACCCTAAACCCTACCTGAAACCCTGACCGCAGGCCTGCGGAGCCGTTCCGACGGCCGACTCAGCCTCAGCCTCAGCCCCAGACGCCGACAAACACTCCGAAACTAAACTGCTTTAGGGTGTAGGGTTTAGGGTTTCGGGTTTAGGGTTTGGGTTTTAGGGTTCAGGGAAGTTCAGGGTTTAGGGTGGACGAAGAGATCGGAGAAGGCCGGATGAAAGGTGCGCTTGGTCATTTGTAGGGTTTCGGCCGTAGTTCCTGGGATTCAGGCTTTACTCGCTGCTGGCTAGTAGGGAATGGGGGAATGGGGTACCCTATACAATCCCTTAAAGGTATGTATAGGGCCCTAATTCCCTCATTCCCTGATAACCAACAGTGAGATTAGGGCTTCTGGATGTCGGTTTTCGGAGTTATAGGGTTTAGGGTTTGGGATGTGTAGGGTTCACCCTAAACCCTAAACCCTAAACCCTAAACCCTAAACCCTAAACCCTAAACCCTCAGGGCAACCTGACCCTTGCGTCGTTTGAAGCTCCCTGAACCGTAAACCCTCTCTTTCACATATGGGCGGTTGTCAAAATTATGGTCCTTTTTTGGATCCCTATGAGAATACGGCACCGAGTATTTATAGGGTACCCCAAAAGGGATGACAATTTTGACAACCACCCACACGTATTGAACTGTCGCTCAAATTTCGGCCAATCGGCCACCAGTTCGTGCGAAATGTCGGTCAATCGGCACCCGTGCTTTTCAATTTCCGGTCAATTGGCACCAATCTTTTTCAATTTCAGGTCAATCGGGGCCGAAGGTTTAGGGTTCAGGGGTCTTGTCGCATGTCACAGAAATGTCAAGCTTTCTATCTTCTTAGTGTTATGGCATTCTCAGGGTGGGTGGGTGAGGCTGGCCTAGCAACTGTTTGGACTTGAGATGCTGAACCCTAAGCCCTGACACGTTGCTATTTGCCCGTGTGGTTTTCTTGAAATTTCCGGTCTGGAGAGAGTGTTCTTCTGTTGAGGGGCGGGGAGGGGGGGGGGGAGGGGGGGGGGATTGGTTACGACCATTTGACTCTAACCATCCCCAAACCCTGCTATTTACGGCGTTTTTGCCTCTTTGTGCAACATGTTGCTGGAGGATGTTTGATGTTCAGCAAAACGGGCGCTGTCACACGTGTTCATGCCGTTTTGCGAACATGCCCAAAACCCTGCTATTTGCGGCGCTTTTGCCTCTTTGTACAACATGTTGCTGGAGGATGTTTGATGTTCAGCCACACAAGGCACTGTCATAAGCGCTCATGCCATTTTGCGAACATGACCAAAACCCTGCTATTTGCGGCATTTTTGCCTCTTTTATACAATGTGCGTCTCATCGAACACAACTACAGCTGGGTCTGGCGCTGGCAATTGGTCCCCAAGCGAACATCCTGGATCGCTTGGGGAAGGTGTGCTAAAATGAGTGCCCTAAGTTTGAGTTCCTGGATTTCCTAAAGCACGAATCCCTCAATTTCCACAGCCACACGCACGAAGTCCTGTAATTTACAGCGCTTTCCGTGTATGCCCTAAAACGTACAGGCCCGCCACCACACGGTCAGATATCAACGTGTGACCCCCTAAGCCCTTAACCCGAACATTACGCCCTTTGTGCTACGTTCTTCCGCGCAGGCTTGGTTTGCTTGCAGATCTGCATCTTCAGGTTTTTTAGGGCTTAGAGTTTAGGGTCTCCTAAACCCTAAACCCTTAACCCTTAAGCCCAAGCCCCAACCACATGTCAAGACAAACTCCCGAAAGCCCATACTGGGTCCGGGCCAGGGTCCGTTGCAGCACCTGCCATCAAGATGGCGCGCCAGCTGATCGGCGCGCATGGGTAGATTGTCAAGGTTTAGGGTTTAGGGTTTAGGGTGTAGGATGTAGGGTGTAGGGTGTAGGGTGTAGGGTTAAGGGCTTAATTAGTTCGTAGGGTTTAGGTTTGAAACCTTAATATAGGGTCCCTTTTTGGGTCCCCCTATATAACTAGTCCGGAACCTTGGAAGTTCGAAGAAGGACCACCAAAAGATGACCCTCATGGGTCATCCGTGTTTTGGGGTGGCAGCTGGAAACACATGTAGACATGCCAGAACTGTTCGTAAAAATAGGGCTGCGCGGAGGGGCATCCTCATATCCTCATGCTTCCCTTACAGGGTAGGCACTACATTGCAGGGGGTACTCTAAACTCCAAGACTTAGTTCCTTTACCCGAGTGTAACCCTAAACCCTAAACCCTAAACCCTAAACCCTAAACCCTAAACCCTCAACCCTCTCCTCCGGGATGCGTGCCACACAAGGTTTCACCGGAACCCGTCGCCTGGTCTCTCAAAAAAGGAACGGCTGGACATCTGAACCTAAGCCCTAAACCCTAAAGCCTAAACGAAGCAATACCAGAAAAGGTCAACAAAGATGATGTGACTGCTCCTTGCCCTATTACGGGTCCATTCGCTGGACTGAGCTTTGCGCAGATGTTGGCACTGTTCGGTGGTCTTCATGGCTGCAGGTTTGGCTTGAACTTACAAGATTCAGTGAGCCATGTTGGCCATGTTACGCGACAACGTTTGCCGACACGTACTTCCAAGCCTCACGAGCCCTTTGTAGCAACAACACCTGCAATAAGTTCTTGCAGCAAAGCCGCACGTAGGCGAGATGCATTTTCCAGTTTGTTTACCTTCTTTGAAAAACCGTGGCCGCTTGACCCTCATGGTGCCTGGACGTCGAACATTGTCCTCGCGAGGGCGCAAGTCATGTGCGAGGCACATCCTGCTTCTGGCGGCAACTGAGTTGGCTTGGAGCCACTCCTGCTTCAATCTCTGGGAAGATTTTGTTTACTCACCACAGGGATGGCAAGACTTTCGGAGCAACAAGCCCAGCCCAGGAATATCCCGACTTCAAACGAGCCGAAGATGGAAAGGGACACTGGATTGACGACTTTCGACACCCCAGATTAGGTTGACATGGGCCTGGCAGAGATCGAGGACAAGTTGGCAAGCAGAGTTTCCGGGAAGGAACACTTGTGGCGGGACTTGCTCGAGTCCCCAGAAGCATGGCAAGACTTTCGGAGCAACAAGCCTAGCCCGAGATTTCCCGACGTCGTTCGAACAGGAGATGAAGCGGGACTTTGGATTCACGGCTACGAGACCCCAGATTGGGTTGAGACGGGCTTGGCAGAGATCGAGGACAAGCTCGGCTGATCAGTCCTCATTTGGGGTGGGCGGGATTCCGCCCGCACTCGGGAGGGGAAGAGTGCGGTCGATTGTGGAGCCAGTGATCAGACGAAAAAGGAAGAGCATACATACAAGCGCGCTTTCGCGCGTCCGTGCATGCTGTGCTAGCTGGGTATCAGGACCCAGAGTAGGGTTTAGTGGGGACTTCAGGGTTTAGGGTTTAGGGTTTAGGGTAACTAGGACCCGGCGTAGGGCCCTTATTCCCTTATTTTAGGGTTTGGGTTCCCTTATAAGCCCCTCTAAAACTAAAAGGGCACCCTTGTTATTCCCAGGTTACTCCTGGGTCTAGGTAGGGTGGTTAGTTTTCTATTAGGTCCCTTTTTGGGATCCCTTTGCAAAGGGTGCCGCGTTATACTAGGTGCCCAAGGCGGGACCCTAACTTTGAGAACTACACATGTGCAAGGCGCTGCGCGCTTGCATATATACATAGACATACTCGTACCAAAAACAAGACGAAGAATTTTTAATCTAAGGTCCCCTGCCCCGTCCCCCCTGCCCCCCCGGTTCTCGCCCCCGCCCCCATGGATTTTAACGGCGCGCCGCACACGAACATTTCTTCCTTGGGAACCACATGAACCCTAAAATTGGCACCATGTACCCCATACCACTCTCATCCTTATTGGGGTATCGGGTGTACGAACCAGAAGCCCTTTTTAGGGTTCATTTGGTTCTCGAGGTGCCGGCACCCGGAAAACCCTAAACCCTAAACCCTAAACCCTAAACCTTAAACCTAAACCTGGATTTTTACAGAGGACCTCACAAGAAACACCCCCCTCAAGACCTTAAGAGTCCTGGAATTCTGACATGCGGGTCCAACAACAGGGTTTAGGGTTTAGGGTTTAGGGCTAAGGGTTTAGGGTTTAGGGTTTAGGGTTTAGGGTTTAGGGTTTAGGGTTTAGGGTTTAGGGCATGTCGGTCTGAACAGCTGTGGCTCAAAGAGCTCCCCTGAGCGCTCACGTGGCAAGCTAGGGCTCTTGTAGCTTTAAAATGAGCCCAAAAATTGGGGTCACATGCCCTGCAGTGCCATATTTCCTATCAAGGTGTATGGTCATACCCTAAATTCTTGTCCTATACTTCCCTACCCTAAAGCCTAAACCCTAAAACTTTTTGTGGTTCCTTTGGTCCTTATAAGGCCCTGGGTGTCACCAAGAGACATTTGCCGTCGCTCGTGCGCTTTTGTACCGGTTTAGGGTTTAGGGTTTCGGGTTTTAGGGTTTTAGGGTTTTAGGGTTTTAGGGTTTAGGGTTTAGGGAACCAGAAACACAGGTGATGAGAAGCATGGTCACAACTTATGGGAGACAATCTTAAGAGCGCCTCCGCTTTTGCGATGGGCAATCAGCTTTGCAAACATACTTTTTGCGCCCAAGTTGAAACAAAAATGAGTAGTGTTGTATTCCCAGCCTACTTCAAGATCTAGTTAGATACTCTAAACTATAAACTCTACATTTTCTGGTTCAGCTCGGCTTTTAAAACTCTGAAGTCGAAAGCAGGACTTGAAGTTGTATTTGAACAGCTCGTGCAGTTCGTTTGCCTTCATGCTGCGGGTTCAGGGTTAGTAAACCCTAAACCCTAAACCCTAAACCCTAAACCCTAAACCCTAAACCCTAAACCCTAAACCCTAAACCCTAAACCCTGAACC